ATTTTCCAGGGGTGCAGAGAGCGAATGTGAGCGTAAACCCTGGATGTCGATGATGTTTAAGAATATGCGATCCTACGAAATGTGTTTGCTTCATTTTTAAATGGGCTGACAACATTAACACTGCATTGGCATCATATTCTATTTATTGTCTGTTACTAGATTTTTTAAATCCTCAAAGTGACTTCATACTTGTCAACTTTGTGAAATTTCTATTGGGGAGATTCTGCATTCTCAAAATTAAAACATAAATGATGTGTGTGTATACACCCCTTCGAGACAGAGCAACCCTTTAAAATGACATATTTGGAGTTGTTCTTTCAAATTCACTGGTTGAAAACACTCAATTTAGGGTCCAATATCGGGAGTTTATTTATTTTAATAGTACAATTAACCCCTTTTCAAGGCTACCCGCTCACCGTTACCTATCCGAGGGGTTTATTCTGCAAAATATCAAATTTTACCAGTTATGAAGTATATGAATTACTAAAAGGTACATCACTCCTTTGAACGCCCTAGCAAATAAAAGTAACAAGAGGCCCAATGGGCCTGAATCGCTCACCTGGTATTAATCTCACTCTTGTAATCTTAAAAGTGAACTAATATACAGCTACAGGCAAAATATCTGTGTTCGATCCATTTGAATCTATTAAATGATTTAAACATATGACGCTTGCGACCTTGAAAGTGTATAGCCTTCCGTCATTTAAAAATTTAAACATATTTGATCCCTGTGACCTTGAATATGAGCAAAGGTCATTCATTTTAACAAACTTGGGAGCCCTTCATCCCAGCATGTTAATGGCCAAATATCATCATCCAAGGCATTTAGGTTATTTAGAAGAAGTTATTTAAAGTTTTTAAACATATTTGACCCCTGTGACCTTGAAAATAGATGAAGGTAATTCATTTGAATAAACTTGGTAGCCCTTCATCCCAGCATGTTACTGGCCAAATGTCATAAGCCTATGCCTCTTGGATATTCAGGAGAAGTTATTTAAAGGTTTTAAAAATATTTGACCCCTGTGACCTTGAAAATAGGTGAAGGTCGTTTGTTTGAACAAACTTGGTAGCCCTTCCTCTGAGCACGATACTGGTCAAATATCATTGTTCTAGGCTTCTTGGGTATTCAGGAGAAGTTGTGTAAAGGTTTTAAACATATTTGACCCATGTGGCCTTGAAAATGGGCGAAGGTCATTTATTTAAACAAACTTGGTAGCCCTCTATTACAGCATGCTACTGGTCAAATAGCATCATCCTAGGCCTCTTGGTTATTGAGAAGAAGTTGTTTTAAAGGTTTTAAACATATTTGACCCTTGAATATAGGTAAAGGTCATTCATTTTAAGAAAACTTAGTAGCCCTTTATCCTAGCATGTTACTGCCGAAATATCATTATCCTAGGCCTCTAAGTTATTCAGTAGAAGTTGTTTAAAGATTTTTTAAGACAACTGACCCCTGTGACCTTGAAAATAGATGAAGGTCATTTATTTGAACAAACTTGGTAGGCCTTCATCCCAGTTTACTTCTGGCCAAATATCATCACCCTAGGCCTTTCGGTTATTAAGAAGAAGTCGTTTAAAGTAAAAAATTGACGCCGGACGGACGGACGACGCACCACGGCATAAGCTCACTTGGCACTTTGTGCCAGGTGAGCTAAAAATTGGATTGGTTTGGTTGTGATTTACGTCATATTGACAGCTATGTTCATTTTACGAAGAACCAGGTATCAGTGGTGGAGGGAAACCGGAGTACTGGATACAAAACACCGACTTCGGAGTAGTACCAGGCCTGGAATCCTACGGCAGAGGGCTAGTGACCAAAGAGGAAGGTAGAAAAAGTACAGGAGTTTTCACTTCTAGACACAAGAGAACACAGGATAATGTAAACTAAGCATTTTAATAAATATGTACATTTGTACAAATCGTATTCATCATCATCATAGCAAACATAGACATTACTATATAAAATGGGAGGGAAAATAATACATGCAAAAGCAACATTTACAAAGAGGTTGGTAAACTGTAACACAGCAAATCAATGGTGTCCATGAAGGAGTCCATGACATTTTAGTGTAAATATGAACTTTGAAATAAGTTTACTTCACTGTCAGTTTCCTTTGAATTGGAAGAGTTCAAATGTGTCTTCAGGGGTGAATGAGTTAAATAGAACTTTCATTATTGACCAATCAGAAAAGGACTTTCTATTCACTGCATTCAAAACCACATATTTTCATTTCAGTTACACTTTTAGTAATGGTTGTTCTAGCACAACTCTGCTTATAAACACAAGGGTATTTATTAACTACTCAATGGTAGAATTGCATTGAACAGCCAATATACAAGAATATGCCGAAAAAGAATACACTATTAATTCATCATCATATTTGATGCCATAACATTTTTGTCACACATGTCATTTTAAAATGCAATAACAAGAGTATTTTTAAAGTTTTCCCACTGAATACTAAGTACACTTCATTTGGTTGGCAGAATGTTCCCCCACAATAAACTCATGAAATATATTTGGTATTCAATGTGAAACTAGGATATCATGGGGAAATTTGTTTCTTATCAATCTATGATGAATATATGTCCATGTTGGATGGTATAGAAGATGGTTTGTACAAGACTTTAATTGTTAACACAGGGGCGCCCCACATATTCCCGACCCCACCATCCATATATGTCTATTATGTATCAAAATACCCATGTACAGATGATGGGATTGGGGATGGGTGCCTCGCCGCTGTGCAACAGATTATTAGAGTACATTGTCTACTGATTGTGCGGTTCAAAATATTATGCTAGATAAAGTGCAATAGGCACCCACCTTTTTGTTGATATATTTCTATGAACAGAAAGAAATAAACTGAAATACATAACACATTGCTGGAAACACTTTGTTTCACCAGACAATGCAAAAGACATAGAACGAATTAATTGCTAAAATCTGGCAGATAATCCAATTCAAACAGTATATATGTACATTGATTTTTGTTTAATAGGAACCTAATGTAATCATCCCAAAATTTTCAAGCAATTCTCTAAGGCATTACATTACTTTGCGACACCTTAACTCATTCACCCCTGAAATTTCATAATGAACTTTTCAAACCTGTGAATCAGAGGAGTTCAAATGTGTCTTCAGGGGTGAATGAGTTAAACTTTAGATACATTGAATAACCTCTGGTGTTCTTGGGATGAAGAGTGTTTCCTATGTTCGTAAAAAAAAAACCACCCCAAAAAAACTAAGATATCAAATATCTCCTTTGATCAGAGCTAAAGTTATCTCCCTTGAGTAACCCAGTATTTAAATATCTTAGTCCTCAGTTCTATTGCTGTTATCATTGCAATGTGTTATCCCCTTAATCAATATATTTTTCCTTTCTCAACTCAGAAGAGTCCAAGATAATAAGTCACTCCAGTGTTGTATCTTCTTACACAGTGTTTATATATGTCGTTGATTATGTTTTCGTCTCTTTACACAGTAACCTCCCTTTTACCCTACATCCAGTAACCTCCCCTTTACTTTCATTCATACCCAGTGATCCCCCCTTTACTGACATGTAACTGTAACACAGTCTGAAGTCCTGGCCTCGGATCCTGGTCTAGCCTAGCTTAATGTTTTACATTCGGAACACTCTTGTTGAATATATTTTGGGTTTATTTCATCTTTATTATTTTTCATAAACGTCCTGCAAGGTATGGTTTTCTTTTCAGAAAAGATTTATCAAGGTTAAAGTCATCATGGAAAAACAATTACCAAAACATAGTTAGTTTTTAGTAAGGGAATCCTTAAGATCTTTGATTGAATTGTAAATCACATTAACCTCGGTGAATGATTTTGTTTCAACTAGATATTTACAGAATAAGATTCATCAGTTTGGATTGAATAATAAAGACTAAGTTTGTTTTAAACACAAACAGGAAGTGAAAAAATATTTTTGCAAGCTTTTAAAAACGTCTGTTTCCTTTGTCAAGCGAAGGGTGCAAATGACCGGTGTCTCGGCTCTTAAGCACTGAAAACAACTTGTTAAGCCTCAGTCGACCGAATCATGTAAAGTCAGCTGTCAAAAATCATGGAGACATTTCGCCCAACTGCACTCTAATACTGCTGGCAGTCAGGGGGACGGGTAGCATGTTTACCCATTCCGCCTCTTATTGCAAAACAAACCTAGTGTTTAACTAAATATGTAGAAAAGTTGAGTTCACAAACAGAACAATGATATACTAGATGTTTCTTATTTAATAAGTACTCAAAATATTTTAAATTCACAATCCCACCTTATCGTGAATTATTACAAAAATAAATGTCATGCCATGTCAAAATGATTTACCTTATTTATCCAGCAATAAGCCCATGCCTGGTAATAAGACCACCCATATCTAATCAGTGATTTTTTTCGCTCAGTTTTACAACTGAATACAGGCCGTTTACCCTTGCCAAAAAGTGCCTTATTTTCCAAAAATGACCAGAGGTATATATTCTCAATTTCAGTACAAATCATGCCATATTTTCAAAATTCATAAAGGAACAGACTGTTGTAAAACTTAGGCAACAAAAACACTGATATTTCAGTTCTATAGAAATACCAATGCAATTTCATTGTAATGTAAAGCCAACCCCCTTGGGCTTATTATTGCAGGATAAATACGGTAGTACCTGCTTCATACACACAGATATTTTATCTCCTTCATATTTTAGACAATGAAAGTTGATCATGTCACCGTTCACCTACATCCAAGCTTTGTTCAAGAATCTTCACCAGAATATAAAACTGCATGTACCACTTCGAAATTGTATTACAATGTTTCTTCCAGTGGACTTATTGTTTTCCTTTTGTATGTACTTCACATTTGAGAATGTTGAATTGATCACATCATCATGCATATTCCGTCTTTGCATATTGCAGAGTTATCTTCTTTTGGGAGCAGGTATTGATTGTTACGTCACTTGTTTGTGAGAGTAACGTCATCAATTTTTGAGAAAACGACGTAATTTTCTCGCACAAACCAATGACGTAACAATCAATCCCTGCTCCCAAGAGAAGATAACTCTGCAATACGCAAAGACGGAATCATAACAGTTGAATTGTTTGTGGTAAATTATCCGTTGTTTCAATTTGATGGCGATGCTTCCCCTTCCATCTCTTCCTCTGTCATTTCCTGTTTTGATCTTTTACCACTATCACGGAAGGATTTCTGTAAGACGTACGCATCGGCTGGCTCGATTCGTTTATAGTAGTTCTTTTTCTCTTCCACAATCTCAAAACCAAATTTCTCATAAAATTTTATGGCAACATCATTGTTCACTTGAACATGACTGAAACACAAATTTTAGATAAAACATCAACAAACAATTTATGATAAAAAAAATCAAAAGTAATTTCAATTTTCTTTAATCTTACTGTCTAATATCTTGGGATGACAAAAGGGTTTTCTGTGTTCGTTAAAAAACCCTAATAAGTCAAATTGACCTGTGGTAAGTGCATAGGTCACTAGTTCACTACCTAAGTTATCTCCCTTACAGATACCAATTCAACTTGGTTTGTTTGTGTTTTACGTCCTATTAACAGCTATGGTCATTTAAGGACGTGCCAGGCTATGATAGTGATCATGAAGGAAAGCCGGAGTTCCCGGAGAAACCCTTCGACCCAAGGCCAGTACCAGCCGACTGCTCCATGTAGGTCTTGAACCCACGACCCAGGCTAGTGGTAGCAGAATGTCAGACGCCACTTGGCCACTTGGGCACCGTGGCACCCCTACCAATTCAAGGGTTTATTTGAACAAAGTAACAGCAGAGACTATACTATTTCATAAGAAAGATGAATGACTATCAATTATGCAGTGAATACACTAGGTTTGGGACGATATATCAATATATCAATACATATTGATTCTTCTGTGTGTGATATACATGTATATATACGTATCCAACTATCCATTCTAGAAGAATTGCATTGTTTATATTGTAATGCTTGAAAAACAGGCTAAGGCCAAAAAATAAGAAGACTTCCTTGTGTTTCAGCTATCATCCTTGAGCTCAGAAAAATAGAGTAGTTAGCTATATATAGGTAGGCAATGTTTTTGTCTTGGAAAACATTTTTACTATGCTTATACTAAAGACGAGGAGTTAATATCACTAAATGCCCTGATTATACTCACAGAAAGACATTGTCGTAATTTCCGTCGGTATTACAGATTTTCAACACATGATTCAGCATGATAGTTCCTGCAAAGAAATGAAATATTACATTTTGATGCGCACATAAAAACGGTATAGCCATCCCAACCTCAATACTCAATCAGTTCCTCTCTCTGCACCCCTGGAATATGTCATAGCAACAGCGAAGGCTCAGTTGCACCACCTTGTGGATGAGACGGGAAGACTAATTTTATCCTTTGATGTACATCAAAAGAATCTCTCGGTTGCCTAACAGTTGCCTTATAGTAAAATTGACAGGCTTTAAAGTCGGGTGTCTCGCTTCTGTGTAATCTTCAAAGGACAGGTATGAGCCTAGCGAGTGGTCCGTTGTTTTTTTTTACCTGAGACCAATCAAACAGCCGTCTTTGTGCCTTCAATTTTGCTATGACATATTCCATGGGTGCAGAGAGTGAAAGTGAGCGTAACCCCTGGATACCGAGGATGGTGATGACAGTATGTAGTTTAAGGTAGCCATGTGTAGCTCCACCATCGAGGAAGCAATCCTTGTATGACATTATAAACCGGTGCATGTGACAAAGTAGACAATTTTGACATTCCTGGGGTGCAGAGAGCAAAACCTCTGGAGTATTGAGGATGTAAGTAGCCATCTCAATTTACAATGTAGCACTTCGTCTCTACTTTTTGATGATCACCATCCACTATTTCAAAGGCTGTATCGTGTTTTACCTAATTAGTAGTGCTGGGTAAAAATTAGGAGTAAAATGGTTTTATACGTTTTTACAACTGCTCTAAATCTCGATAAGGCCAGACAAAAAAATATATACACGTGTTTCATGTAACATGTTGGAAAAATTTAGGGTAGGTAGGTAGGTAACAAGTTTATTCTTAAAAATAATTCTATCTCAGCACCCTTGAACTTTTTCATGTTTTAGACAAACCATGATTGATTAGAGACACTACACAGATGGAGGCATGTTATTCAATGACCCTATCTGTTAGTAGGGCACAAAACCTAATGAAACTAACTTTCATGTTTTCAAATCATTTGATGACATTTCCTTGAACATTTTTATCAACCATTAAATGGTCTTCATGATCTATGTTGATAGGTCATTAATATTGTTAATATAGAATGTAGGACCCAGTAAACCATATTGACTCATTCACACCTGAAATTTCGTAATGAACTATTCCAACCTTTGAATGGGAGGAGTTCAAATGTGTCTGCAGGGGTGAATGAGTTGACGATGGGATAGCCTCTACAACATTGGTACTGTTAATGGGTCAGGATGAAGGAACCAAAGCGGAAGGGATATACGGTAAACCTTCGGTCAGTTCGAACAAAATTAAATAAATATTGAAGAACCTGTTCGGATTATACAAAATTATGCTTCAGAAAATAAGCATGAGTTCGAACTATCGGCAAAAATTTCGGCAAAGTGCAAATGAAGTCACAAACATATACCCGACATATTTTCTTCACCGGAGTAATATGCCTCTATATATCCAATGTAAGGGTGCTACGTAACAACGACGGCCTGGCATAGAACAATGGCACATTTATAAATGGGTAAAATGATAGTATATTATTTAATTCAATGTTAATTGATCATTAAACTTTCTTCATTTCGTGATAATTATGATTGTTATTGCGAAGCAGAGGCCCTTGTGTAGGCCCCGAAACAGTACACGTTTCATTTGTGACACCAAAGTTAAGACTACCTATACTAGCTTGTATCAGAGACCTAAATATTGAGTCTCTGCGTGGTTAGGTTTTATTTGAATCAGAAACTATTGTATATGTTATTTCGTAATGAATGGTCCGTTTAATAAATTGAATAAGTCTACATAACCTGTTGCGTTTACAAGGCGCTACTGTACAGTAAATATAGGTCTATATGTTAGTAAAATTATGTCAGAACATCAACATGTCTGCTTTAAATTATAAGTGATATAGTCCTAATACCTACCAAACTTATTTGACACCTTCAAAATTACCCATCGCTAATTGGGACACCTGTGGATTGTTTGGGCTTTGACATGAATGCTAATCTCGTCACTCACCATCGCTGGGCGGCCGATTCCTACCGCGACATCGTGTCCTGCCCTACCTGGTGTGAGGGCACACGTTTACAGGTAATACCTTGATTGGCAATAATTAAGGGATGTCTGGTCGCAATAAAATAATCATAATGCTTAGTTAACACTGTATTTGACAACACACGGGCGATTTCTTAGCGTACAGCCATACAGCGTGACATCAGTTCGTACTGATCGCATGTTATTTATACATTGTCGGGGCCTAAGTTGAAATTGGCTGTCTCGTGCACGATGTATTTTTCAAACAATGTAAAAAAAATGAATCAACGCTAAAATCTGTGACATATATTTATGGTTTGTCTGTCACAGCTGTACTGCAATGCTCACACATACAACCCATTACCCTTATAGACGTGTCTGTTGATCAAAGCATTTTTCCGGGGCCGATCGCCGCAAGCTTTCAATGGAGTTTGCCGAAAAAAATCTTACTTTACGTTTTCATTTGACAAGTTCGGACTATCCGAAATAGGGTCAATCAGAGTTTGAGCTATCACTAGCTAGAAAATTATTGTTTTAATTGAAAAAAATATGTGTTCGAACTATCCGCCGATTCGAACTGACCGGAGGTTTACCGTATATACGGTGTAGACAATATGAGGTTGTCAAATTTTCGGATCAATCCGCTCCTTTATCAATACACAGAAACTTACACAGAAAATACACAGATCACTTACATTACATATGAAAAAAAATACAGAAATATAATAACAGGATATATAACTAATATCTAAAAGCAATAAACTCCTCTGCTAGCATAAGACAGATCAGAATTTACACTGACCCCATCGTTGACCTATACTGTGTGTGTGTGTACGAACAATGACAAAAAGATTGTAATACATGTATACAGTGAAAACTGAAGCGTGAAGAAAGATGGATCATGCTGAAGCTGGAAAACATATGGCATGGATAATCCTGGAGATTGACCCCTCAAAACTGAAATTGACCCCTCCATGTCCCAATTTTCTTTTTATTGTACATAGAATTATCCCCTCTTAAAATTCCTGAAATTGTCCCACTGCTGTTAAATTCCATGATTTCCCTCGATATGGGTGGTACTAGTGTTCTCACCTATTCCCAGTCTGCGGTATGGAGCCAGGGCGCCAAGGGTCATGATGTACAGCCTCCGCTGACCGTCCGACACGTCCACTCTACAGCATACCGCCCCCACAACGATGTCATTGAAGTACGCTGTAACCAACAAAACAATCCATACATCTCGGAGAATTCTAGTTCAAGCATTGGCTAAGGTTATTAAAGCTTAAATCAGGAATTTTTATACACGTGTTGCTTTACAATTTATGATCAGTTCAAAAAGTAATGTCTGGGACTTCACTTGGTTTGTTTACCCAAATTTCTCAACAGTCGGCGCCTGTAGAAAATTATGAAAATTTTACATTTTTCTTCTTTTTTCACCCATTTCTCCCCTTCTTCAATTTGGTAAAATATTTCAGCCAAAAATATACATAATTTTACCAAAATGAAGAAATTTTCATGATTTCTACAGGAACAAGCCGTTGTGAAATTTGGTTAGAAAAAAAGCACACCATAATTACTGTGTATATGTAAAAGGCCACATTTGGACTGTTTACTCTTGCAAGACATATTTCTAAAATTTGTCATTTTCATTATATAATTACAGGAAATTAAACACTATTTTGAGTTGAAAATTCAGTAAACGACCATATATATACCTAGTTTGGCTAACTCTCCAACTTCTAGGACATCTTTGTAAAACTTGTCATTGTAAGTAACAGGGAAGACCACCTGATTCAGTCTCTTCAGCTGCTTTAAATTGTGCTGAGTGATGTCACCCAATTCTGTTTGTCCCCTGAAATAAAAAAAGAAAGGTGTGTTAGAGGGTGCATTTTGTATAAATATCCCTGTCAACACAATATGGGTATATAGAACTGCTTATACTTACAGTAGAAATGGTCGGTCAGGTTGTTTCGCATTTATACATGTATGGTCAACCAGAATTTATTGACAAAACAACTGTTCATGAAACATAAGTTTTTCATCATTACAAACATTTCAACTGAACTTTATAACTTTAAAAAAAATACATATTCATATAAGGGAGAAACAACCTTGGGCAAATTGGATTTAGTATGAAAGGACTAGTGGTACATGTAAACAGGATTTAGGGTGTTAAAAGACCCGAATCCAAAATGGTACAAGGCGATGTGGTACAAGCTTATATAATATGTGTCAAATCACAAATATGAACACATTTCATTCCTAAAGATCTCACTCAGCACTTCTGAAATTCAGCTATCGACAGCCCGTCTATCAGATTTATACAATGTAGGCTTGTAGCATCTATAATGAGTCGAGTTGGGACATGGCATTAAGCTATATAGTAGTCAAGTGAGAAATGAATTTATTTACATACTAGTATACATATATATAGGTACACAGATTTTTTCAGACATGTATCTGTAAAACTCCCACAATTGCTGTTGCCAGATTTTGGAGATTAATGTTCATATTTTAAATAGCAGATGACAGCAGATGACAGCAGAAAATATAGCATGCAAACCATCAAAATTTTGAAGCCTGCTATTATGGTCAGTTTTGGCAGCTTTCACTTTCCTTCAGGTACATTTATTTCAGTAAAAAAGTGTAAATTTGTTGGTTCTGCCTAATTTCTCTTCATCATTATTGCAGAGATTGACAACAAATTTATTTTCACTTGGCAAAAACACAATGACATCAACAGACTTGCGTTATGTGTTAATGTCAGGGCACAGAAACAGGTCTCCAAACGATGCTGAAACCCCTCTGTACCAAACAAGAGCTGTTGGAGAACAGTATAGCTCGCCTATTGGTGATTTATGTTGTAAAATTGCAAATATCAATAGAAACCAATGTACAGTAAAACCTCAATATAATGCCCGTCATTTCATTTGCCACCTCACTTACCGCCAACATATTTTCAGTTATTTTTTTAATTCAGAATTCCTTATACGTTAATTCCCTCAATTTATCGCCAAACCAGCTTGATTTGAACACATAATTTCTATCTCTAGTGGGTCAATTTCCGTCCTTGATACTCCAGGGGTTAGCACAACTTATATGCTCTATGCATCCCTGAAATATGTCGTGACAAAATTGAAGGCTCATTGTGCGCCCCTTTTTGGTGGCGACAAGAAGACCAGTTTGATCCTTTGATGTAGCTGATGTACTGTACATCAAAGGAATCTCGCGATCACAAAACAGTAAAATTGACATGTATCAGTCTAGCGATTGGTCAGGTTTTTTAACCAGTGACCAATGAAGTAACTACTAGTGCTAGGAATCGGTCCGATTTTGAAGATCGATTATCGGACATTCAAGATCGATTATCGGACATTCAAGATCGATCGGTAATCGATTATCGGTTGAAATCAACGACAAAAGAATACGTTTAATAAATTGACATTTTGACCAATCATTAAAAAATATCTATATAACTGCATGTTATTTTTCTAATAACTTTATCTAAGAGACGTTCATATGATGAGAAAAGGTACATTTACTTCAGAAATTGACAATGACCGGTAGATTACCGTTCGAGAAGTGAACATATACCTTTTCCTATCTCCTGCAGACAAGTCATTCTGATAGCGATCGATCCTAACACAAACAAACCAGGGTATGCATTTTGGGTTAAATACATCTTGATATGACATTAATATTGTTAATCAAATCAACCCATTTGAAATTGAGTCAAACTGAGTTAGTACTGTAAAGTTTATGTCCCACCATCCTTTCGCTGTAAAAAAAAGTGTTTTTATTCTGGAGGGCGCCATTTGCTGTACTTACGAATTTCGTCAGTTATATAAATTTAGCCGTACCTACAAAACACTCCACTGACCTTGATTACGTAATTACGCTATATAGCTACCACCCTTGAATGCCGGTATGATTCAAGCGAGAATCAACAAGAACGGCACCGGGTGAAAGCACGGACTTAGAAGCAGGGATTGGTGAAACACCTCTTTCATTTCGCGTATGTATTGTCCACATCTTGTATTTGTGCACCGAACTGTGGCGGCCTGTGACCTCACGCCGGAGCCAATTTACATGTACTGCGCTTGCGTGCTATCTCACAGACCGATTTACGGTATCGATAACCACGTTGTTTACCTAGGTGACGAGAGACCGATTTATAATGTGACACTGATTTGACAGGCAAGTAACACAGTGTAATCATCGTGGCTTAAACTTTAGAAAATGGATACATACATGTGATGATGTCGCAAACTATGTCAAGCAGCTACATCATTGTCAAATATGACTAACATTAAGTCTTGTGATAGTTATTTAGATTCAGACTTTTTAATGAAAGAATATATATATACAGATTATGAAAATGAAACTTAAGATTTCATAGGTGATAAGAGACATTCTATATTCTACAAAACTTAAAAATTAAAATTATCGAGCGACCAAAATTGAGATCTTTCGAGTGCATACACAGCACGGTAGAAGCACAGGGGTTTGTTACAAATGTCTAATACACATGTACATGTGCTATACTGATATAGGTCACAGCACATGTAAACTTTCCCAAAAAATGAACAAAATAGTTCATCCAGATTTTGAATTTCATTTCAACATGTATCAATTCAGCACTTGGTAAATATTTAATGACTATTGAGAAATTTTTGATCTTTGATTCTGCAAAAGGACAGGTCTATTTGATATGTTTAATGTCTAATGACCAAANCCCCCCCCAACCAATCATTTTTCTGGTCCGTGAAACTAAATAACAAGTCTGAAGTATTCTAGTAATTAGGATCCAGCTGTATGATTTAAATTTATATTTTTTATTTTATCTTTTTCAGCTAACCAAAATATAACTTGCTGTTCAAGGGACAGCTCCACCACCAGTGTTCCTGTTGACAGCACCACTAGCTCTGTTGTAGTACTGTACATGTACCAAGCCCACTTGTTAACGCTATTATGTTGTCAGCAACAATTTTCAGTGTCATTTAATTCATCAATTTATTCCTAAAAAAAGACGATCTTCATCAACTTCTTGGGACAAAGTGCTTATGTTTTTTTTTATACATTAATCCAGAGAACTTTTCTTTGGTAGCTTTTTATTTTGTGTTTTTCAAGACAATTTTTCTTGAACTGATTAAGATGTGTCCGCTGTGAAAGAAAGAGAACAATTATTAAAGAAGCTATACATCTATACTAATTAGTTTGAATAAGCCCTGAGTTAAAAACAAAGTATTAAGACTTGTATACAGATTAAAGTTTGCGGTTCACATACCTTTGGTATGTAATTGATTATTATCTTTCAAAATTGATTTCTTGTCAGTTTTGTTACTCAACTACAGAATATATGTATTGTTATCATTACTAATTATGTGAGAAAGTTGGAACATGTTTCAAATAAATCACATTTAGATAGCGCGAAACAGCCTAGGGCGAACAGGATTTCGGGCGAAACAACCCGGAACCGTGTAAACTGGAGTACCGAGGACGGTCAATTTCAAGAGTGAACCACAAGAATGTGTAAGAAAACCCCAGGGCTAGCTCTGCAGGAAGCGAACAGTCGACAGACCTATAAAATCTGAACCACGCATCTAGATCTGTAAGTTTTGGCTGAGTCTAAGATAACAAAATAAAACTGATAATTTGAGCAGAAGCGTAGTGTTGCATTGCAAAGGACCTGTAACGATACGGAGACGCATTTAATATTTAATAAGACTCTTAGAGCAGATCACGGCCCGCAGATCAAGGGAGTGAACACCGCCTGTGGTCTATCGGAGTGCCCTGGGCCACCAGAAACTGTTCACATTCCTCGTTTCTTGACAAATCTGAGTGGCAATGTAAACAGATTAAAATGGACTTCATTCATGTATAAAATGAAAGTTAAACACGCATATATAATAATATCATATGTATACCTTGTCATCTTTTCTGTTAGGGCATGTGCTCTTGGATCCCGCTTAAAAACCGGAAGTCAAATAGTGACAAATAAAAATCTTGTAATGCGCAAGTGCGGAAGTTTATCGATCATCACATGATAATATTTCCGAAAACCTGACAAGATGGTAAGGATATCTTTTTGTTGTTTTTACTGCTTTATAGATATTTATTGTGCATAATTTTTCCCGGAGTTGTTGATATATATCCCGTTTTCATTTGGCACTTACTATTTGATCATTTCATTTTGAAGAAGAGATTAAAATTGATTGGGAGAAAGGACCCGGACACCGGTATCTGTCGACTCGTACACGTTGACCTTAGTGGAGGATAGCTGTCATATAATGTCACTAAATCCGGGTAGCGTCTTTCGATAAATTTATTAAACGAACTCGAAGCGGGCTGCAAGTCACATTCATTCTGTGGATATTTAATTTCCACCTGAGTTAAGCAATTCAGAATAGTCATGAGCCAAATGTCACCAGATCATGTGATTTTTGCAGACGAAAATAGAATTTGCTTCATTATAACAAATCTTTATAAATCTAGTATTTATTGAAAACGGACATATCCCTTTCTTATGTGACACTGATCATGACTACTTATAAATAAATGGAGAAATCACGCTGCCAATGTGCCATCAATTTATTTTTCCTGGTTTTATTTTATAAGTAAGCATTTATAAACAGTACTTCCAAAAATACAAAGTTAGCTGGTTCAAATACATAATGATAAATGAACATATGTGTAAATACTAATGCTTGTATCCAACATTCATGTACAGTGAATGTGTATTATTCATAAAAGTTAAGAACAAAATATATAAACTACTGGATAAAACAAGCATTGCAACCAAAATCAACTGACTCTGCCAAATAGGTAGTTCTATTATAGTCATGGATATTGATAATCCTGGTGAAGGGGGCCATTGACCCCTCAAAACTGAAATTGACCCTTCCATGTTCCTATTTTCTTTTAATATTACAAAGAATGACCCCTCTTAATTTTTATATTTACTAAAAATTGATGAAATGGCCCAGGATTATACCTGATAGTAAATATGTATAAATAGGAAATGACATGTGAGATTTAGAGGTTTAGAGGTGCATATATACGATTCCATTACCTGATGGTCAGGGCGAGTAAATTGAGTATATAGGTTGGGTTATAGTTACCAGGTACATATATGTATAGTAGAATTTTTGAAATATGTCTGCAGACTCGTACATCATATAGGAAACTCTGTAAAAGATGTGGATTAATTAGGTTGCCTTACAAGCGTCAGCTTGTCACAGAACCTGGGTTGTGTTTGAAAAAAGGGGGGAATAGTGTAAAATATGTGGATTAATTAGGTTGCCTTACAAGCGTCAACGGTAGAGCATGAGGCTGGAGAGCCAAGGGTCGCGGGTTCGAGCCCCAGCGATGGCGCTATCTTTATCACTATTCCTCATCCTATTACAACTGTGTACTATTCCATATGTTTGAATACTTAACCATCCCAACAGACTTCTTTTTCTATTACAAACCTAAAAATGTAGTACTAACTAGATGCAATCACATAACTTTAGAAAAAAGCATAAATGTGAGCTAAAAATATGGGCATGCATGGCAATGCAATCATTTATCATATCAAGAGACTAGAACTGGTTACAGAATCCACAGAGGAACAGAATATTTCCATTATAATTTGTACATTCACTCTGCTGAAATGTCTTTCCTCATTTCTATCATCTTTATACTACTCCCTGAAACCGCCATGAATTTCTTTCTTTCGATCTTCACGAAAAAAATACCTATTGCCATTCAGAAATTTATTTATCATAAATATTTTTCTGAAAATTGGCAATTATAATCATTTACAGAATGCTTATATGTATGTGGCTGCGTTGCACCATTTTGTTGTTTTGAATCATCTTTTCAGGGCGAAAAGACGAGAATTAACAAATCTTGGTTCTCGTTCTTTCTTCTTTTTGCCCGAAAAAGATGAGTAAAGAAGAATTAGGCAGACAGCTGTTTCTGTGTAAAAGATGTGCATTGATAACCTAGCCTTACAAGCGTCAACTGTAGGGAATTTCCCGAGCTGGAGAGCCAAGGGTCGTGGGTTCGAGCCCCAGTTAAATAGAAATAAACAAAAATATTACAAGCACCACAATTTTTTTTTTTGCATGATCATTTACTTGGGACGTACCCACTAAAAGTTTTTTTGAAAACCCTACCTATATCACTACAGATGTTCCAATAATAATACATGTAGATAACATATAAACATGTAGGCACTTTTCCAAATGTTTGTGGTGTAATATAAAATACTATCCTAGACTACACCCACATCCTGTTTGAAAAGTTCAAAAAGATTGACAGGCTATTGGTGAAGTTTCGTGTTTTGAATCTAAACTTTTAACTTTTCGGTAAAAAAATATTACTACACTGTACAGGTATGTATGTGTATTATTTATTTTTCAGACTCCCCCGCCCTCCTCCCCCGCCCTCCTCCCCCGCGCCATCGTGACACACACACACACACTTTTTAGTTCTGTTAAATGGGACCATTTTCAATTGAATAGACCTCCTTTTCCTAAATTTGTCCTGATAAAATCCCAAAATGCACACCATAGAAATCCCCTGGTATGGGTATATCTAGGACATAACTAGGTCAGCTTTATCAGGTTGGGGCTGGCACAATGTTTAGGTGGGTAGCAACCCAGAAATTTACACTGCTACTCAACCCAGCGTCAGGGACTTATAACATAAGTCAGTGTTGGATGACCTTCTGCATACTTATGTATCACCAGTATGAAATAAAGGATTATTAGGCTGTAGATAGGCCGGTCAGAAATATAAATTGGATACTTTGAATTCTCTGTCCCCATTTATGAAACTGAATCTATAAATTTTTATTTAATATATAGTACCTGTTCTGAATGTTGGCTGGTCAGAATATATAGAATAAAATTGTATTTTTTTTTTTAGAACTTTCAATCCATACATAATACTACCATACTTACCTTACGACCTTATTTGTAATTGCGAATTTGAATTGGAAACAGTTTTGATATAAATATAATTATTCTTTCTATCATAGGATTACCTTCAACACAGATTCCCATGCATCTGTTCTAATGGGTTTATTTCTGCCTAAATTTTACTGTATGAATTTGGAAAAATCTCAAATTATTTTTGTTAAAATTTGTAAGATATTTTCTTTCCTTTTTCTCATTCTGGGAAAGTATTACATATACGCACCGTTTTGCTTGGGACTGTATATATAATATCAGTGCATAGATATATTGTGTAATGTGACTTGTTTTGACGTTGTAAAGTAATACATGTGACAATGTATTCCTGACATCGCAGACTTCCACACTATACATTATGATGTCACTTTGGGAGATAATATGTAGTGGGCATTAGGGTTGATAGTGAAACATACAGGTGTGCATTTTTTTCTCAATTTTTAGAGGGGTGTAACTATACATATATTTTCCGGTAATACATGTTTGATTTTGAAACTGTTCAAACATGTATGTAAAATATAAAGCATGTGTAATAACTTGAGTATTTTTTTTATTTAAATTATCATATATGGATGATGCATACCTGCTGAAGACTGTAAAATGGTTATGAATATTGATCCAAATTTCCAAAAATAAAAATATCACAGTGTAACCTAATTTGTATGCATATATATACATATATTTCTACAACTCCCTGATCGAGATACATAAATTTGTGTTTAATGTTGGGCCAGACTTTATTTACATTATCATACAAAATTATGTTCCTACAAGTAAATAGTTAGTAGTTATAAGTATTACATGACATGGGAGACTGGGTTTATTGCAGGAATTCATTTAGCTTTTAAAAAGAAACACTTTTTATTTTCGTGAAAATGGCGAACTACTCTCGCAGAATATTAACTTGAGTTGGACTTAGCAGCCTATTCGTCATTATAAACACATTTTCCTAAAAAAAAAAAATCAGTGTTATGTATCGTTGTTGGATAAGAATTAGAAAAGCTCCTTACTCAGATTCATGATAAGAACTCTGGAATTTGGATAAACTGACATCAAAATAATTTAAATCTTGTTAGTGGTATGCATGGGGATCCTTAATGTATATACATAATGTATAAGAAATTGTACGCCATTGGTTGTGGTACTGGTATGTACGTTATACTTAACCCAACTGCGAGTACAAGGATGGCTGCCTATACCAATATGGTCACCGAGCACAACTAAGTGGCTATATATGGAGATCCTTGGGGTTTTGGGTAACGTACATATTTACAATGTACCCTAAATGGAAAGTTTGTTGAATAATTTTTCTAAACCTTGTTTTCTATCTTTGTAGGCTGGAGCTTACGAGAGAGCAAAGAAATTGCCGAAAATTGCCGATGTTGAGAAGGAGTCTCTATTCGGATATGTATTTGCTGTTTCTGGACCTGGTATGTAGGTCACCTATAGCTACTTATATTACTTTAACCCCTGAAGTTTCATAATGAACTATTCCAACCTTTGAATTGGAAGAGTTCAAATGTGTCTACAGGGGTGAATGAGTTAAGTAATGCTGTGCCGAATAGTAATTAAATGCAACTGCATATAATATATCAGCTAAACATAAAGCAACCATGAAGAGGTTTTTCATAAAAGAAATTGTTTAGGAGAAATTTACACAAAATGTTTTGTAACTATTCATTGTTTTGTGTAAATTGATACGCACATGTGAATGTATTATACTATACCAGTTATTGTTGAAGCTTTTTCCTGTTATGCAATTTAATATCTGAATATTATTTTCAAAACACTAGTGTTGAGAAGTCCTACTACTTGGAGAACATACTGTATACAGTGAAATTTTTGCTGCAGCAAAATGTTCACCATTTTTGCCCTCTGTAATCAGGGCAAACTTATATTTATCATTACAGCGAACATTTGTAAACAACATATGATATACATAGTAATGAAATTTGAAGTGCATATTTTTTTAACCTGGCTAAAATGGATTTTACTAACTGTCGAAGGGCGAAGTTTTGACTGGGCGAAACTTTCCAGGTATATAATTGTGACTGAATTCTCCTATTGTGACAGAGATCAACAGGAAAAGCACACAAGTTAATGACTCAAATGTCTGTCTTGAAATTCATTGGTATATTTGGCAATTCAGACAAACATTGAGACAAAGTAATAGTTTATCCATGATTTGTGATCACCAGCTATTGTTTGCATGTAACCATTGTTTGGTCCACTTTCAGTAATACATGTAGCACTCATAGTCAATATGAATGCAGCCTGGAAGTGAAAATGCCATGAAGCTCGCTGTTAGTGCTTCATGTTGAGTTTGTCATTTCCAGTTGTCATTGGAATTCATATTGACCGGTTTCCTCCCACACTAAGACACCCCCCTTGGGCTTACATCCAGGCCAACAAGAGTGATTAATATAAGTTGAAATAACTTGCTTCATAATTGTTGTAAAATAAATAAAGTTTAAAAAAAAAAAAAAAAAGATATTGACCATGACTGCTAATTAACTGAAATTAGTTCAAAAATCAACTTCACCATTTTCAAAATGTTTTAATATCATAGAAAATCAAAATTTATCATTTAATTCAATAGAAGGTTATGTCAGTATCCTGCATGCTTGTTTTATGAACAGAATAGCCATCTTCCATCGAGGGCCCTTGTATATCAAGTGTTACAATAATGATGCCAACAAGTGAGCTTTGGCATTCATAGCTTAAACTATTCTTGTACATCTACAAGTTTCATTTTCAAATGTAACAGGAAAGATTATACATTTTGAATGTACCTTTGCGGTGCAAAAAGCTACAGAAAGTGCCCCCCTCCTAAAAGAATCAATTCTTTAACAGCAAACATGAAGAATACAGTATGTAACATATTGCTATTTATATGCATCATTATAAGAATAGGACCTAATCATGAACTAAAACCAGATTTCGTAAATACAAGTGTGCTTTTTCAGTGGTGACCGCTCAGAACATGGCAGGAGCTGCTATGTACGAGTTGGTGCGTGTCGGCCATGACGAGCTTGTGGGAGAGATCATCCGATTGGAGGGTGACATGGCAACTATCCAGGTGTACGAGGAAACTTGTATCCTTTGTTGATTTTCACCCTTGAAGAAGACAAGGAACCCAAAATATTGGGACTCGAGGTGGCAATGGTTTTATCATTTCTTACTGCCAAATTAAAAAATGAAATCGAGTTGGATTGCATTTCTTGTCCATATGATCAAATTATCTTTTTTTTTTCTTATTGAAATATTGATTGTTGTTTATCAAATCCAGTATATTTAATAACAAAAAAAAATGAAATTAAAATCTAAAATTTCAGGTTTGGAAATAAAAAATGAATGTCTAAAGAGAAGAATAAAATATTTGTAAATTTTCATTCTCAAATACATATGTATTACATTTTGAACATTTGCATGTTTGATTCATCAAGTTATTTGTGGCTTAGCCCTTTGGTGAAATTATGCTTTGATGAGAAGTTGTTTTTTATAAATCTGAACCTGTTGTACAATTTTGAAAATCTAGGTTATAATTCCCGTTTTACCCCGTTAGAATCAGAGCTGACTGCAGAGGAAATGTAAGGATTCCAATAGTCAGAATAAAATCTGTAAATCTGTGTATGATGACTAAATCAATTTAAAATGGTAGATAGAATTTTGCAGTGTAACATTGACCTTAGCTAGTACATAGCTGGAGTAACAGTGGGTGATCCCGTACTCCGGACCGGTAAGCCTCTGTCCGTGGAGTTAGGACCCGGAATAATGGCTAGTATCTTTGATGGTAAGTGTCAATCATACCTCACCTGTTATATTTTATATTCATTTTGACAAGGGTTGCGCTGTCGATACAAGTATCGTCTTTACACCCTGAGAATATATATGCCATGAGTACTCATGACCAAATAGAAAGCATTCTGTCAGCTTCTTGAATGGTTTTAGGTATGAAAATCCGACTGCTCGCTAGACTGATATATGTCCTTTGATGATTACAGAGGGGCAACAGCCTTCTTGATCCTTGTCAATTTTACCGTTAATGCCACCGCAGGATTCTTTTGAAGTACATCAAGTTTGCAAGGCGGCCCATATAGAGCCTTTAATTTTGTCAGGAGGGGTGTAGGGAATCTGATATGTGTGAAGAGCAGAACCGTTGGATTTTGAAGATGCCAGCTAGAGTATCTTCACTCCAGATATTACTCAGAAATTGCCAAATTTATCCAGTTTATACAGTTTAGAGGGAGGTAACTCACAATATGGTTGGAATGCAATGTTCATTGCTTTTCAAAGACATGTACAACTGGCAGAAATTTCAAAACTTAGCCAGTGTGTAGATCTACCGGTCAAAGGGAGATTTTTATAGGTATTTAAAGACCACTGGCATTACAATGTATAGAGTTGTTCAATGGGAAGTAACTCATAAAAATTTCTCTTACCCTGGACAAGTGTATCCGCACTTTTACCGGTTTGAGATTTTCTTGTCTCGCCCTAGGGTTGAGACGGGGGGATTCCCTATTCATAACAATGGTATGAGTTCACTTCAACAATACAATGCGTCACCTCAACAATCCATCAACGTCACGTCACGTCAACCCTGAATTTAGCATGTAACGTTATCATTACATTGTGTATATGATACACAATGGGAGAACAGGGTAACAGGAAAAGAACCATTCACCCCCTTGTGGGTGAGATAGGGGAATCTCAACCCTCGGGGAAAGATTCTTAAGTTGCCAAACACTCGGCTATCTCACCCCCAAAGGGATGAGAAATTCTGTTAGTTCTCAATAGGTATTCAAACACCACTGACAGGGAATTCAAAATTTATCCAGTGTGTGGATCTACTGATCAAAGGGAGATAAGTGATATGTTTTCATTGCAATTTTTATAGGTATTCAAAGACCGTTGGCAGAGATTTCAAAACTGACGCAGAGTATCTATATCCCTAAGGGAGTCAACACCCCTGCCTTGGACAGGAATCTCAAATGGGAGTTTGAACCATTTGGAAATATCAGGGTAAGTCCATAATTTTTACTTTACCGGTGCGCACTGTACATGTACAGGCAGGGCTGAAATTGGTTGGTATTATAGTGCACCTGGAATACAAACCATAACGCTGTTACTCCAGCTTCTGCCCTCTGATTTTTAGACGTAGGATGACAGGTGCTTTTCACCTTCCTACATGCTGTACTGATCCTAATAAGTGTCCTGGGTATTTCTAAACATTTTCCTCAGTTTGGTAGGACCCCTGCAGGTAGGGCATAAAAATTGTACCTGCTGCCCTCATTGCATGATCGTAAGAGGCGACTAAATTGGGGATCCATATCTTTTCTCTTTTTTCTAAATAACTTTCTTCTTCCTAATGTCTCCCTTGACAATGCTTCACTTTTGGCCTTTCGTTGAGCGTTCACCCCTGTGAGGAAGGCTTTGGGTTCTGTCCCCTGGCCGAAACATACCAGAGTCTGTAAAAATGATAGTTTTTAATCCTGCTTAACGCTCAGCAATTTAGGAGTGGGACGACTGGTTCACCCGTTGTCAGTATAATGTGACCGGGTAGGGTGTCCTGCTGGGTGTCTTCTGCAATATGTTTCAGTCTGGTAGCACTATAAAGTCGGCATCAGTTCCGCGCTATCACAAGGAGACAAACATGAACATATTGCAGCCTCCCAAAACACACACGCATACACTACACACATGCATCTTGCACACAGGGGAGGCTGTCCTTAAATGACCATAGCTGTTGATAGGATGTTAAACAATACTAAACCAACCCTCAGGCTGGTAAGTATGGGTTGTGAAAAGACTCGTGTAGCACAACCAGTCATTGAAACGTCACATATAAACACTTACTGGTTGTGGTATATGAATCTTTTCATAAGTGCCATGGGTGCTTAGCAATAAGGTTTAAGTGTACTTATAATAAGCAGCAAATTATTATAGATTATATGTGATAATTTTACTGAAATAATGTGTTTTCTATTGTGAATCCATAGTCTTTTTTAATTAGCTAAAAAATTTGGATTCAAGAATTTTGCAGTTTAATTAGTGAAGTAATCATAATTACGGAGAAGATTCTAGGGTGTATGGTTGCGGGATTGACGCTGATTTTTAAGTATTAAGAACCTAGTGCTGTAATATCAGTATTTAAAGACATTTTATCTGCAATCAAATTTAAAGGCCATCATTGGAAAATGTACATCGCATAGGGGAATAGTCGAAAATACATTTGATTGCTATTTATATTTGTGTATTAGATCTAGGCCTGTGATAATTGTTTCATGCAGCGATAAACCCTTGTTGCTTGTTTAATGATGTACATACTCAGTATTTCAGTAACTGAAATGTAAGTAAGTTGGGCCCATATTCACATTTGATTGGCCCCTTTTCTGAATGGCAGTGAAGGAGTTGTCCCCCTATTTTGAAATTCCTAGAATCATCACTGGGATTATTTTGAATTGAGGTAAAAGTCAAAGATAATAAACTGGAATGCAAGGTATGAATTTGAATCACCTGGGCCCGTATTCATTAATCTGTTATCATGCTCAAGCCCCGATTTTGTTTTCAAGCCTAATTTTTTTGTTTCCGTTATAAATTGATGAGAAATTTCTTATTTTGTCAATAACCTGGGAAAAGACTTTTAAGCCATAACCATTTTCAATGTTTCAATTTGACTTTTTGGTCGTTAGACATGACTTATGCGAGGTTACACGATAATTGGTTTGAGCACAGAATCCATACTTGAGCATGAGAATGGTTTCATGAATACTGGCCCTGACTTTTGTGTCACCTGCGAAGCTAAGTTGTTGTAAAGGAATCACTCCTTTTGGCCGTGTCAAATGGTTTCCAATTGACAATGCTTTAAGTTATCCTTTAATTTTCATGAAACTTTCTGGAGTACCTAAACCTTATATGTACAAGTTCTAAAATTGTAATCTTTACATCAGTGTTTTTGTGTCGTCAGGTGGGCAGTCACATGACCGGAGGAGATATTTACGGTGTAGTGTACGAGAACATCCTAATCAAACACAAGATCATGCTGCCTCCCAAATCCAAGGGCACCGTCACCTGGGTTGCTGACCCTGGCACGTATGATGTCAATGTAAGTCATATCCAGGCAGGGATCAATCTAGGTTTTAGGGGAAACTACCCCTTTTTCAGATTTGTGGGAAATAAAAAATTTGATACAAGGCTCTAGCGTCATGAAGGTAAAAGATAAATGTTTTGTCCGACATACATGTGTGCGGTATATTTCAATTTATAAACAATTTTAAGCTTGAAATTGTAGCATTTTTGTTTAAATTATGTGAAGAAAATGTATATATGCAGTATTATACATTTTAACTGTTGAACGTTAAAGAAAACATAAGTAAGGGAAATATTTTGAAGAAAAAACACTCTTTTCTTGTTGAAATATGGGAATTTTGAAGCACATAGATGAGGAATTTCAAAGAACAGGGTAATTTTGTTCTGATTGGGAAACTACCCATAAATGGTAGTGAATCAAGTCTAGATTGATCCCTGTCAGTAAATGTAGTCTTAAGATTGCATCAAATTGCACTCGCGGAATAAAATATAAGCACTTGTTTTCTAATATAATTGTAAATTTCAGGTTCCACTAGGCAAAAAAAACTGTTCCTACTTGGCCAAAAAAAAAAATTGGGCCTCTTGTTTGAGCGTAACTAGCTTTGAAGTTATAAAATAAACAATGTTTTCTTAGTGTTTATCCAGTTCATTTTTGATAGAGTTTCAAATGTTAGCACATACATGTTGGACATTTTCCGTTAAGTTATTCCACATATTTGCAGTTCTTAGTAAAAACTGTTTTTCCTTTTCATAATTGAATTGTACCCTGTTGGGGATATATTTCAAAGAAGTTCCACTGTTTTTGGATTAATTTGAAACATCTTTCCATAACTTCAAAAACCAGTAAAATCCCGGTCGTATTTTCCATAGATCCATTTATAAAGTTCTATCATATCTCCTCGCTGTCGCCTATATGATAGCATTGGTAAATTATTATGTTTGGCTGTTATCGTTATTATACAAATAAATGATTGGAAAAATTGCAGCTGATACATATTACCACCTTACTGAATTACTACTGACCTGTCCGGTTTCCATATAATTGCAGGACGTCGTCTTGGAGACCGAGTTTGACGGAAAGAAAAACAAATACACTATGTTACAAGTCTGGCCTGTACGTCAGATGCGTCCAGTCACGGAGAAACTTGCTGGAAACCATCCTCTGCTGACCGGTCAACGTGTCCTTGATGCTCTCTTCCCGTATGTCAACCACCTAGGGTTTCCCAGGGAGTTCCTCATTCTATTTTTAGATTTTTGTCTCGATGCCATGAAATGGAAGCGAAACATAGGTGTTGCTTTTCTGGCGATGGCGGCGTCGGTGTCAACATTAAGTTTTTAGTTCACCTGAGACAAAGTCTCAAGTGACCTATTGCGATCGCCTTTTGTCCGTCGTCGTCCGTCGTCCGTCGTCCGTCGTGCGTCATGCGTCGTGCGTCCGTAAACAATTTACATTTTCGACTTCTTCTCCAAAACCCCTGAACCAATTTCAATGAAATTTTGCAGGGACCTTCCATGGACAAATGTCAACAAAAATTGTTGCCGGTTTAGTCCTAAGCCCCCAGGGGCCTGAGGGGCGGGGCCAAAAAGGGTCAAATTGACTAAAATTTCAAAAATCTTCTCCTCCAAAACCCCTGAACCAATTTCAATGAAATTTTGCAGCGACCTTCCATGGACAAAGGTCAACAAAAAAGTTGCCGGTTTAGTCCTAAGCCCCCAGGGGCCTGAGGGGCGGGGCCAAAAAGGGTCAAATTGACTAAAATTTCAAAAATCTTCTCCTCCAAAACCCCTGAACCAATTTCAATGAAATTTTGCAGCGACCTTCCATGGACAAAGGTCAACAAAAAAGTTGCCGGTTTAGTCCTAAGCCCCCAGGGGCCTGAGGGGCGGGGCCAAAAAGGGTCAAATTGACTAAAATTTCAAAAATCTTCT